ACAGTAAACAAAGCATATTTTAAGTGTTCAGTATGGAACTGAATGATTAAGGTGTTAAAAATCATAATGCTCATATCATATGTGTTCGGAACTCTGAAACATACAGGATCTGTTCTCAAACTGCGTATGTAACCTTTGTCTATTTTATCGCTTTTGGAGCTCACTTTATAGATGCTGTTTAACAGACTGTCCGCGGAGAGTTCCAGGCAGCAGCTATCTACACAGTCTAAGCTAGAAATACTGCGACCCCCATAGGTTTGAGAGGGAGAAGCAGTTCTGTGAAAACCATGACGGCCAGTTTTTGTGTACACAGACCCACAATAAGTAGCTCCATAGGTACATAGACCTGTCTACAGGTACTGCTAAACATTTACTCTTCATAGCATTTTAGATGATACAACTTGTGGGTTAAATTTAACATAAAGATAGTATTTTTGCTAATATGACGATCATTGTGCCCTTTCGTGTACTCTTATTTCCATGAACTTTCACAGCACTCCTGCAAAGTGGTTAGGTTCATTCCCATTTTACAGGTGAGGGCAAATGTTGCTCTCAAGTACATACACACGTACACTTGTGTGCATGCACGCGCACCTGCACACACACACACAGTAAACACTGGATGAAGTGGCCAAGGCATTGGCCCCGATTTTGATTTCCGGCCCCAGGAGGTTGATTGTGAGTGTGCTTGGGCTGGAAAGGGCTCAGCGGAGGTGGGTAGAGGGTCTGGGACCACACCCACTCTCCCTGCCCCTTGTTGGGGTCAGCTCCAGCTTTTTGTGTACCAGGCTCTGCTCAGTCCTAACCTGCTTTCCAGTACCTGCGATTCTAATCGTTCTAGTTAGGCCCTGTTTGCTACTAACTCAAGTGCTTTGGCGGCCTTCTAACCAGCCTTCCTGCTTCCGGGCTTTTCCTGCTTACAGTCTGCTTTCCTCAGCTTGATGTTCCTAGAAAGTTCGGCCTGCAAATTGCTGGCAACTCAAAGTTCCTACCTTCAGGGGCTGGGGATTTAGCTCAGTGGCTAAAAGCGCCTGCCTGACAAGCACAAGGTCGTGAGTTCGGTTCCCGGTACCGGAGAAAAACCAAAAAAAAAAAAAAAAAAAAAGTTCCTACCTTCAAAGTCTGTATTTAGTAGTCTGCTGTTCACTATCACATGGACCCCTACAGTGTGCACCCTTGACTGCTTTTACATCCTGTGCTCCACTACGGGTGTTTGTCTTGTCCAGTCTTCGAGTGTTCTAGAGTGAGTATTCAGGGCCCAGGCCAAGCCTTTCATTCCCTCAGCTCTGCGGGAACTCACAGCTCTCTCTGCCTGCTATGTGGGAACGGGAGAAGTGAAGTGGTCCCTCCACACACATCTTCCTGGGGACTGAAGCCAGGGCCTTGGCGCTGAGCTACATCCCTGCCCTTTTTCTTTTTTGAGACAGGGTCTCACTGGGTTTGAACTGAAATCCTCCTGCTTCAGGCTCCTGAAGTGCTGGTATCTACAAGCATTCAGTGCCACACCAGGCTAGGTTCCTTTTTAAACAACTAAAGATTTTGACGACTAATGCATTTTAAAAACCAAACAATATGTATCTACATAGGTACATAGATGTCGGAAACAACATCATGAGATCGGTATTTTCCTGTCTCCCCAACTGGTACCGACTTCTCTTTTGATACCCTTTTATTAGTTTCTTGTAGATCATTCCAAGGTATCCATGCGAATGTGAACAGATATAATTGTATATTTTTATTCTGCCCCATTTATTTTAAACAGCATATTATTCATCACCTTGCTTATAACAGGTTACTTAAATGATCTCTTTTCAGTACATAGAGTGGTTCCTCATTTTTTTTTTTTTTCTTACAGCTTTATACTCTTCCATTATGGTTTTGTTTTTTTGTTTTTTTTTGTTTTTTTTTGTTTTTTTGTACCAGGAGTAGAACTCAGGACCTTTTGCTTGCCAGGCAGGCACTGTGCCACTGAGTTATATCCCGGCCCCTCCATCACGTTCTTGAACCAAAATTTAATTTGTGCCCCTGTTGATGGATGTCTGAATGGTTTTTAATGTCCTGTCATAATGTTCCAATGTGTACCCTGGGATTGTTAAATCCAATGGTATACGTTACTTGAAATTTTGAAAGATATTGGTAAAAGTACCCTTCACTTTTTTGATTGATGATTTTTAAATATCAAAGGAAGAGCTCAGATCTGATTTTCCACAAGTCAGAAGGATCTCCCTTTCTAATCTCCCCTTGTATGTATATGTATTTGTATGTTTATTTCTCAAGTGAGTGAAAGGGCTCTGGTCTTTATTTCATGTCTTCATCCTTTGTATAACAACCTCTACTGTACAAATGAAAGTAAGGGAAGGTAGTTGCCTCTTGTCCCTCGTCATGGAGCGTTGAGACAAAGCTCTTTAGAAGGCAGATGGTCCTGGCAGGTACCACAAGTTCAATCCGGAAATATTTACGTAGCACCTGAATGTGTAAGACAGGTGAGATGCTGAGGATCAGAGAGGAGAGGACTGCCCCTCATGGAGCGGCCTGTAGATTTGGTTTGTGTGGTGTCTGTACGGTGTTCTGAGCGTTTTCCAGAAGCCTTTCTAATTGGAGCATTGCATATATAAAAGTGCACAGGTCTTAAAAGTGCACTGTTGGGATGACCACAAAATATATGTTAAATATTTTTAGTTACCAAACTTGAAAAGTCTAATAACTTCCCCCTCAGTTAAGGCACCTCTGCTCCAGTTTCTCTGCAATGTTGTCTGCCTATTCTAAATGCATGTATAGTTCAGAACCCAGTACTCAATAAGGCTGGTAGTCCAGGCATCTGGGGAGAAGATGGGGTTCTGGGGGGCCTTGAGCAAAATGAGCAAAGAATTATTGAGCAGCGTTATATCACAGATTACCTAATTCAGCGCATTTCCTCTTCTTTTCAAAACTTGAAAGATTGGTGGTTAAAAAAAAAAGCAGTTTATTTTCTGCATTTTAATGTCTTCAGAGACTGTCTTTTGTCTATCTCTTCAAATATTTTTGTTGATGGTTAAAAACAGAAAGCATAATTTGTATTTTTAAATGTAAAATTAAAACCTGATGAATTTGTCGCTTCAGCAGTCTCTCAAAGCCATGATTCTGACGACCAAACCCAGTTCTAAAAGTCTCTATCCGATGTTATCGCAGAATGTATTTTAAAACTAGAGCCATCTGCCTTCCAAAGTTTCTGTCTGTTGCACCTGTGCTCAGAAGTACTTCTGCCTACACACAGGAGCTATTGTTATGTTCACCGTGCAGGCGCCCCAGGAATTATCTGCACTTTAAATTTTTGTTTTAAAAAACTGGTGCATTGGATTAGAAAGGAAACCAACCCCCCAAAACCCTACAACCTATCCAACTCTGGACAAGGGCAAGTAAGAAAATTACGGCTTTTTTTCCTCTCTTTCTGTGGTCCCTCTCACGTTAAAAAGCTGATATTACCAGCGTCTTGTGACTCTTTCCCGTACTTCTCTGAGGGCAGTCGTGTGTGTGCCGCACACGCACGGCCTTCCCCTGCCTGTGCAAACGGGAATGTACTGTATGTGTGCACCTGTGTTAGTTCACAGATCGAGGGAGACTGACTCGCATTCCCCGCACTCTTCTTTGGGCTGCATTCTGTTCCATTACATGAACGTTTCATATTTTAACCAGTCTCCTACCGGCTAGTGATAAGCTTTGCAATCTTTCTATTACAGATACCACTACTGCAAACATCCTTTTACATCTGTTTTTGTGCATGGGTACATATGTATCTGAAGGATAAATTCTGGGAATTGAAATTATGCAGTCAGGAAGCTGTGTGCATTTTATCTGTTATGTCCAGAGGCCCTAAAAGGGGATGACAGTTTCCGTTCCATCACTGTACATAAGCGCAGTTTCCCAGCACCCTTGCCGAGACAGTGATTATCAGGTTTGATCGCTGCCAGTCTTCAGGTGGAAATGGTATTTGTATCGTGCTCACCGCTGGTCCTTATTACGATGCAGCATTATTTTGTCCAGGCAAGAGCACCAGCTCAGGGCTGCAGGCACGTGAGTGGGGAACCCACTTCTTACTGATCTCTATCTGCACTCCTTCCTGTATTTTTTTTTTTTTTTTGGTCTTTTTGAGACAAGGCCTTGGTATGCAGTTCAGGCTGGCCTTGAGCTCCCTTTGTAGCCCAGACTGGTCTCAGACTTGCAACGATCCTCCTGCCTTAGCCTCCCAAGTGCTGGGATTACAGATTTGTGCCACCACACCTAGCTGTATTCCCTTTCTATTCCTTTTTATTATTATTGTTTTTTTTGTTGTTTTTTTTTTTTTTTCCGGTACTGGGAATCAAACTCATGACCTTGCACTTGCAAGGCAAGTGCTGTGCTGCTGAGCTAATTCCCCAGCCCCCTCTATTCCTTTTTAGGGCAGAAGTGAGATAGTCTTGTTAAAAATCCTCACGGGGATGAAAACATTTAAAGGTGATGTAACTAAACTATACATTTATTTAACAAATCTATTCTTTTTTCTCTGACCTCTCCTCCTGTTTTCTAGTCTGCCGTTGTATCTTTTACGTCTCCTTTTCTCAGTTCCTTGTGCTGGTGGCCCACACCGGTCAGGGACAGGCGCATTCTTGACTTCCTTTTGTCTGGGCTGGCCCTCCTCCCCAAGAAAGTTTCAAGAATTAGCAGCATCATTTCTTGGTTGTTTCTGGAAACTGCTTCCTCTCTTGGTGACAGGATGCCAGCTTTGTGCAGACTTTTCACCTGTAGCCTCAGCCTGTAGAACAAGCCTGATACACTGCACACAATCACCTTCCTTAGCAAGCCACGTATTTCTTACTATGACGTACACATGACGTAAAATTTGCTACTTCAGTATGTTTGTGCAGTTCAGTGGCATTCTGTCCTTTTATTTTGAATGAGTAAATGAGTGATGCTATTGGTGATTTGTCCTTGAAAGTTACCAAGAGCGAGAAGGTCACTTTAACTCTCATTACCCTTTCTCCTAGACGAAGTCATAAGGAAACGTCTCCTGATCGATGGAGATGGGGCTGGAGATGATCGAAGGATTAATCTGCTCGTGAAAAGTTTCATTAAGTGGTGCAACTCTGGATCCCAAGAAGAGGGGTATTTCATTTCACTCCTGTTCCTTTACTGATGTCCTGATGTGGTCACATTGAGATCCTGTATTTCGAATTTTCGTTCACCTTAAACATCCAATGAAGTCATCTCGGGGTCAATCAGAAGGTTTTTTTTTCTGGCCCTTCTCTTTAAAGGCCTCCTTTATATTTATGAAATGTGCAAAAAGCAGAGTAGTGAGGATGAAATTCAAGATCATTAGTTTTTTTAGCAGATAAGTGTAGAATAACAAAATATCTAAATGAAATTTTCTCCTTTGTTAATAAGTTAAAGTTGCTACAAAATATGTATGAATATATGCTCTCTTGTTTGTTATTTTGTTCTTTTGGCAAGGTCTCACCGTGTAGTTCAGAACTCACTGTGTAGCCCAAGAAGGCCTCCAGCTCCCAGCCATCCTGCCTTGGGTTGCACCTAGCTATATTCTTAATAATTTTTTTAGCATAGGAAAATTTTCATCTGGATTTGCTCTCATAGATACTTACTTAGTTATACTGAACAGAGTGAAAAAATTATGTGAACAGAATTGTGAAGATAACAACCAGCTTAATCAGTATTTTGAAGTGTTTCAACAATTCAGAAAATTTGCTTGAATTAAGACCATATTGATATGAACAGCAGCCCCATCTTGCATCTGTAACTAAAGCCGTTTATGAATTCAGATGTACCACGTTAGAGAAAAGAAAAGAGGAAGAACAGATATTCTAAGTTATTTTAAGTAAACCAGGGATTCTCTCAAAGCGTGGTGTAATTTAATGGGCAGGTTTTTGCCTGGGTTATAGTAGTTCAACGTTGGCAATCCGCAGATGTCCTTACCTGTGCATCTCGCTTTCCCGTTAGGTACAGCCAGTACCAGCGCATGCTGAGCACGCTGTCCCAGTGTGAGTTTTCAATGGGCAAAACTTTGCTGGTGTATGATATGAATCTCAGGGAGATGGAAAACTATGAAAAAATTTACAAAGAAATAGGTGAGAGAAACTTAAAGTAATTAATGTTTTTGTCTCTAATTTTTTATTTTTCTATGGTCTAAAGAAAAAAATGACCAAAGTTTTCCTTAGTTGGTGACAAAAAGATAACAACAATTACAATATTAGTAGAAATAACAGTAAATACTAGCTATAAAATGCTTATTCTAATATGATACAGTGCTTTGGTTTCAACGTTACTTTGTTAGCAGTGGAAATTACATTTAGAAACATGTTTTAGAATTGGAAATGGATGGAGATTCTATATGTTATAGCAATTTTTTTTTTAACCTTTCTGTATAGAATGCAGCATTGCAGGAGCACATGAAAAAATTGCTGAGTGCAAAAAGCAAATTCTTCAAGCAAAACGAATACGAAAAAATCGCCAAGGTAAGGGTTTTGAGGGATTGGGTGCGCAAATACTTTATTACTGACTGGCATTTTCAGGCAGCTTTTGATGTTGTGAGGTCAAATCTGCAGCCAGAATTAACATAATTTACCAAAAAATTAGATTTTAATTCTAAAGTCATATTATTCTTTAAAATAGAAGAGAGGGAAAGCTCTGCTAAAAGATTTTACTGAAATGTGTTCATTATTAAGTATTTCTTAGTGTTAATTTTTTTCTGTCTTTAGACTCTCTTGCCTAAGTAACATTATGGTTAATCAAAGTTGATTGACAGAAATGTATGAGATTTAGTGGTTTGTTTAGAAACAAGCAAATGGAACTACTTTAAAGAAATTTAAATCCAGTAGATTTCTAGGACAAGCAGACATTTATAGGCTGCCTAAATATCTAGTAAGAATTAAAATTTAATTTTGTTCTAATTGCCTTTGTTTTAAAATTGGAATATGACCATATGCAGCTAAAACACTTGCAAAATAATTTTTAATGACAAGGGCATGATTCATCCTATAATGTAAATTGAAAAATTTAAAAATAAAATACAACCCGGCCATGGTGGTGCACACCTGTAATCCCAGCACTTGGGAGGCTGAGGCAAGAGGATTGTTGCGAGTTCGAGACCAGCCTGGTCTACAAAGTGGGCTCAAGGCCAGCCTGAACTGCATAGCAAGAGCCTGGCTCAAAAAATAAAAAATAAAAATAAAATACATGTCTAATGACAAATATTGTATGTAGAAACCTATAAGAAAATAGGAAATGGTTATTTGGGGGCTGTGGATTTTTATGTCTTAGTTTTTTCATTTTTGTTTTATTTTATACTGAGCATGTTGTTGTTTTGGTAAGCTTTTTTTTTTTTTTTGGTACCAGAAATGGAAACTCAGGACCTTGCACTTGCCAGGCAGGCACTTGTGCCGCGGAGCTTGATCCCTGGCCCCCTGAGCATGTTATTATTTTATAATGCAAAGGATTTTATTTGAAAAATCATGCTTGCTTAATATGCTGAGTTCCAGAGCAATGAGTTTCAATTTTTTTTTTTTTAAATCTTTTTGAAACAGGGTTTCATTATACAGTTCAGGCAGGCCTTGAACTCGCAGCAGTCCTCCTGCTTCACCCTCCCTAGTGCTGGGCTTACAGGTGTGCGCCACCACACCTTACTGAATTTCAATTTTTTATTTTTTTAATTTTTTTTGGTTTTTTCTCCAGTACCAGGAACCGAACTCACGACCTTACGCTTGCCAGGCAGACGCTTTGCCGCTGAGCTAAATCCCCAGCCCTTGAATTTCAATTTTTAATGAGCTAATTGAGATGAAATTTTATTTCCTCTCTTTATTTGTATATGGATTCAGTTTTTGGTGGTGGTAGTAGGTATTAAATCCCAGGCCTCACAAATGCTAAGCAAGTGCTCTGCCACTAAGCCACATCTCTAAGGTTATGTTTCCTTTTTAAAAGTTGGCTTTTGCATTCAGTTAAAAGTATTTATGGTGAGGTTCAGTGGCCAGTTTATAGGAAGAGATACTGGCTTACATAATAAATAATTGAAAATTACTTAGAAATATTTGCAGTGTTTTTATTTGTTATGAGATTTTAAAGTAAACCCTAGCATTTGTCATTTCTTAAGAAAGGTTAGCAGGATAAAAATGACTTAATTTTGGAGGATTTAGTAAAGTAGAAATAATGTCTTAATTTTAAATCATTTCAAAGTTTTAAAACATTTTACCTTTAGAATTAGTGGGAAGTGCTCTTACCTAAGATCTGGGGATAATGGTGGGATGTATTTTCCTCACTGATTTGCTGTTGGGGAAACAGTGAGTAAGAGCCTTTTCAGAGTTAATCCACTTGAGCAGTACTGACCGAAGTCCACTAAGCTTACGGGGGCCCCTATGTCCTGTCTAGGACTTGTAATGGGAGGACCAAAGCAGGACCTAGCTCTCCAGATGGAGCACTTGTGATGTTGCAAGTGACTCAGTTTTGGGTGAATCGAGGGAAACGGGCAGCATTCTCCACGCATCATCATTTTTCTTTTATACTAGAAAAATGAGCAGGAGAGACTTGTGATATATATTCTGTCTTTTTTTGTTTGTTTGTTTGTTTGTTTTTCTCCGGTACTGGGAACCGAACTCACGACCTTGCGCTTGCCAGGCAGGCACTTTTGCCGCTGAGCTAAATCCCCAGCCCCCATATATTCTGTCTTCATAATCCAGATTTGAAAAAAGAAAAAACTTTAATTTGATCTTTTTCTGTTTTTGTCTTTCAGAATATGATGCTTTGGCAAAGGTGATCCAGCATCATCCAGACAGGCATGAGACTTTAAAGTAAGTTAGAGCTTCGTGTTGTGTAGAACCAGCTGTCTTAGTTACCTTCCCTGTTGCTGAGACTAAATACCCAACCCCCACAGTTAAAGGACGAAAGGTTTATTTAGCTCATAGTCTGTAGAGGACTACGTATTCCGTAGTCCGCGGGCTCCAAGGCAGGGTGGCCCATGGCAGACAGGCACCACAGAGGAGAAATAGTTCGTGGCAGGCAGAAACAGCCAAAGCAGCAAGCTGCAAGCAGCAGCCAGCCCCCACACCCCTTTTTCTGTCCCTTACCTTATATGCCCGCTGTGTGCCCCACATTCACACCCGGGGGGGCCTTCCTGTTATTACCTAGACTGTGCCAAACCAGTCAGTGGACTAAAGTAATAGTCACACACCCTTGATGTCAGCATCACACACTCTAGATCCTGCCACCTCTGACAACTCCCGTGACTACCTGAGGCTTTGGGGGACATCGAGACACAAGCCGTGACACTTACCTGTACACAGAGATACTCAGCCAGCAGTCTGTCCAACTTGTGTTTATTTGTTTGAGACAAGGTTCACTAAGCACCCCAGGCTGGCCTGGAACTTGGGGCAGTCCTCCTACCTCAGCCTCCTGAGGGCTGGGATTACAAGCATGGGTCGCCACTCCTGGCCTGCATTTCACTTTTATAGAAACACGTAGTATAAGTCAAAAGGTATCATATTTCAGTGTCATATATTCTAACAGTTCTTGGTTAGATCTGTTTTTCCTCCAACCTTACTGCCTTTACATCTACAAGAAATTCATATAATGTGCCTCAGTAGGAAAGCGGGTAAACAGACTACATGCATATAATAAAACATATAGTGACAGCAAATAAGAATATACTCTATACAGTTTCTTATCTAAAGTGCCTTTTATTATCATGATAGTAAACATCCTTACTCTCTAAATGAACCGAAGTGGAACTAGCTAGTGCCCCTGGGCCCATGGGGAGAGGGCCGCCTTCCTGCAGTCCTGGCCCGGGAGAGGCAGGGGTGGGCAGGCAGGGGACAGTCAGTGCAGGGTCTCGGAGTGAGCCAGGCGTCTTAGGACAGGCTCCTCATGTGGGCTGAGGGGCGTGGGGTGGCAGACCTGCGAGAAGAAGCAGTGCTGGTGACCAGGGGCAGGGTGGCCCCTGTGGGTGGGTGGGAAGGGCTGTGGCTGTGCATGTCATGTGGGGATGGCAGGGCTCTAACAGCTCGGGTAGCTCAGGGTGAGGGGCCCACAGGGCGGCACCTGGGAGGGGCAGGAGGGCCTGAGGCTCCCGGGGGGACGCTGCTGGCTGTGCAGCAGATGCTCAGAGGAGACCGTGCCCTGGGCTGGCACAGGTCGGGCAGCAGATGGTGAAGGCTCCTGCGGGACTGAAGGGTGGATAGGTGTCCAGGGGCCCCGACTGGACACGAAGGTGGACCACTCCGCTTCTGCTGTCACCAGCGTGTAAGCAGAGGGCTGGGCCTGGGGCTTTGCCTCCTCTTGGCCTCCAGCACCTATAAGGAGAGCAGTACTTCGCTGCCGTTCCCAGATTTGGCCCTGCCTGCGGCCTTCCTCTAGGTTTCCAGGGCCTCACGGGGTCCCCAGCTGAGTGGACGGCAGGCCAGGACACCCAGAGCAGCTGGCTGGGCTCTCAGGGCTGATCACCTTGGCTCTCAGCAGGTGGTGCAAGGGAGGCTCCGGGTTCCAGGGGTCCCCAGGCAGAGGTGGCCTGCAGAGGGCCCCGGCTGCGGGGAGAGGTGGCAGGAGCCCTTCGTGGAGGGCTCCTGTGGTGGCGGCAGCAGCCTTGCCGCCTTGAGCACCCCAGGGAGCTGCCCAGGGAAGGCTGCAGCCAGCAGGTAGGGTGGGGCAAGGGTGGTACCAGGGAGACGCAGTCTGCGTCCCAGAGTCCGTGGTTGCGGCAGGAGGCAGAGCTCACGGGACTCAGGGAACACTTGGCTTCGGGGTGGACGCCAGGTTCGCGGGGCTGTGGGTACAGACGAACCTCTGTTCTCACCGCCATGGCCAGCACTGTGCCCCGGGAAAGTAAGCACACCCTGGCGCAGTTCACCTGGAGCTGCTCCCTGTAAGACTTGGGAAGCTCCAGCCTCCCTCCTGGGCTTCCACTGCTGCTCAGGAATACAACTCCAGTTGGAAGGGCCTGGCCAGGGCCTCGCATCCTTGGATCTGAGCTCAGAGGCGGTGTCAGCAGTTCTGTCTGCAGATGGCACTGGACAGAGGGTGCTCGCTGCCTTTCCTCACTGCTAAAGGGAACGCGCGGGAGCTTTCTCCCTTTCCTCCCCCGCCCCCCGCTCTGCCTCCTCCTCCTCTTTCTTCTCCTCCTCCTCCTCCTCCTCCTCCTCCTCCTTTTTCTCCTTCTTCTCCTTCTCCTCCTCCTCCTCCTCC